ATTATTTTATTATCTACAAAATCAAATAACAATCCCACTCAAAATGTTCACTTTCATTATCTGCGAGTTACTACTGCTGATCACATTTATCTGGTATTTCGTTCTGCTACAAAATTCTGTGTTTAAAGCCTTATACCGACCGCATTGGCCAGACGTTCCGGTTACGCTATATCATCCAGTGTTTGCTAAATTCGTGGAGCAGCTATCAACTATTGAAATCACGGATCAAGATTGTAAGCCTGTACTGGACGCTATGTCAACGTCTTACTCAGTTGAAGATAAACGGAATGACATGTTTCGTGATTGGTTATCGAATTACATTGGTTTACCCTCTGCTAAACTCGCACTGCCGCAAACTGGTCAGTGTGCTGACATTGGTATTACGTATGATGCCAACAACATCAAACATATTCTTCTTCTTGGGGAGGGGATGTGTATATACTAATACACAAGTATGCGCGTCATACACAAAATTTGTTGGTGCTAACCAAGATCATTATGGTTTTAATGCAGGGTTTGTTGTATATTTTGCTGGTCCAACCCTTGGAATAGGAGGAGTAGTACCTTCACAACACATCCACTTATGCATATCTTTAATCAGCACATGATGATGAGAGCTTAATTTTAGTTGCACATGCATTGAAAGATGGTATTTGGGCATTGAGACAATATTATAGGGAATTGGATCTAAGCTTTTTGGAAACTGTCAACCTCAAGGAAGACAGACAAATGTTCTATCCTTATCATAATTTTTTTTTACAATTAATGGTGTGGAAATCCACTTCAAATACAAAAAACGGCTGCAAGATCAAAAACTCCTTTTCCTTGCAGATGTAGTGAATGCAAAGGGAAAAACTACAAATGAAGAAAACATTGTTACCACTACTCAATTATTGATCAAATTTACAAAGAGGTATGGTACTGAAGTTCATTAATTCTGTCATACTGTTGGAATTGCACCTAAATTTTTTACAGTTAATACACTTGCTGGAGGATAGAAATTTATTGTTATGGAATATCTTTCTTCAGAGCAATTTGTTACAGTTCATGAGGCTCTATCACCTCCTGACATAATAGATTACTGAAATTGGCTAAGCATTCTGTATAATGCTGGATATGTCCATGGTGATGTTTATACATCAAACCTGATGATTTCAAATAGTGGGGGCAAAATAATGATCATAGGTAGGAACAGAAGGTGTTGCAAAGTATCCATATATGTGTATAATGAATGAAGTTATACCTTGGTCAGATGGTGTACAGAATGGTGGAGTGATTAAAAAAGAGCATGACTGGGATACTCTACACAGATCCATTCTAATACATGAAGAAGTTATTCTAACATTATTATCGTAATGAATTGTAGAGATTAAAGCTCAGTCAGAGGTTGAGTGAAAAGCTGTGCATAATTAGGATTTCCTGTAGGCCTTCTAAGAATTTCAATTGTTGTCATTCATATGACTTTAGTATTGAAGTTGTCACTTAGAGTTATATCAGAATAACTTTTGTTGCAGAAATTTTCAAAGTCTATAAGTTTCAATAATTTACAACTATACTTGAAGTCAGTGGTCAAAACGTATGCCTTGAATTTGCACGCGCCTGCAGATTGCTACACACAAAGTATTAAAATATGTATATAGGATTACCCGTATATGATAAATAACGAATATAATGGCTCCAAAAAGCAATACGTTCTTGGAGATAGGTTGCAATTGTGGCTGTTCAAAAAATATTCCGAAAGAAAAGTTTGTGAGGTGTTTCAAGATCCGAACAAGATATATTTTAATGGCCCAGCTAAAAGCATTGAATGGTGGAGAAATAACTGCCAGTCGGCGTCTTAAAAAGAAAACGCGTACTAATAAAAGAACTTTTTATTATTGTGATCGCAATACACCGATTTGTCAGAAAACGTATCTCAATATGTTAGGAATTGGCCGCACGCACTTCGAAAACGTCAGAAATCACTTAGCGACGAATGGTATAATACCACGCGTTCATGGTAACATAAAACGAATGCCGTGATGGAAGACCAAAATAACCATTGATATAACCGTTGCTACCGTTGTGAAGAATTTTATGCTGAAATACATAGATTACCAAGCCCTGGTAGAAATGTCAATCGCATTACTCAATCGCTTACACTTTTGCCAGCCGAAACGAGTTACAAATCGGTCTATCGTGATTTTATTGCAGGTCTTGAGAACGATAGCACGTTGAAATTATTAAAATATGATGCGTTTCGCAAATTATGGCACCAATTATCGCCTTATATTCAAATTATGAGTCCAAGAACGGATGTGCCAACGTTTTCGGAATGGTTTACAGTATAATGCTCGTAAGGAAGAAGAAGCAAAAAATTTACAAAGAACATCTAGTTAAAGAGAGAAATTATTACCACAAAAATACTAAATTAGCAGAACAACAGAGAAATTGGTAGATGATAATTACGCGGTAAGGCTAATTATTGTAGCGTTGATGCTACTGGATCAATTTTTTAAATAATAAATAACCAATGATATTTACTTATTTCCCAATTTCACGTGCAACCAATCAAATTCTTATCCTCCATAAATGCACACTCCATAAATGCACGTTTCCTCCATTCCCAAGGGCGTGCATTTATGGAGGGTTCACTGTAGCCAAAATAGTTAACTTCAGCCACACCAGCCTCTCATTATGTCACAAAACAGAATGTTCACTTTGTCTGGTTTTGTTGCAGTCTGCCCCATATTACGCATTATATATTAACAAGTCTTTTGTAGTTAGTATTGTGAACGCGATAGGCTATGGGCCTATGTGATTAACTATTATACGAATAATAATAATAATTGTATTAGCCGCTACGCATACGACTCGCCATAATAACCACACGTCTAAACGAATATTCCCGACTCTCTACGTTATAGTTATTCCTTCTAAGATTCAGGGAAACTTAACCCAACGAGTGTAGTGTTATTAATATTTTGCTTGGCGTCATATCGAACTTTTCTTACATAGTTCAGTGATTAAGGTATTAACTGTCGCGGCTGATGCTGAAATCCACGTGATAGTTTTTATTACCTAATTGTGAACGCTCTCAATGGTAGATGAGGAAGTTAACAGTCGAATATCCCGTAAGAGAAATTTCCATCCACCCAACATGAGATCAGCCAGACGTTTACGAATATTTAGATCTCTAGAAAAAAAATCAAAAGCGTGCCAAAGAGTTACTAACCTGGATACAGAATGCTATATCATCTGGAAAACTCGAAAATCCAGGTAAACCCGGAGCTAAACAGCTTAATAAATATTTAAAATCCTTTGGACTCATGCCGTGTTATTTGCGCAAAATATTAATATGCCATAGAAGCGCATGGAGCCAAAAATCTAAGACATTCTCCAGGTAATAACACTTCTCCAACGCAGAACTATGTTGCCGTAAATTACAGGCCAAGGGGAGTACCTCCAGATAAAGTAACCATTTCGAATATATGACTCGCGGAGCGAGAAGCTTTCGCCTCCTCTAAACCAAATGAAATGACGGAAGTAGCTGAAATCATTGACTTGTACAAATACTAATTACGCTTCTTTGTTTTTACTTTAACTACACCCTCTTTATCACTAAGCCGGCTAATATATATTTTTTTATTTGTGATCTATTAATAATTTAGCCATACGGCACGCAGAGTAATAAAATCTACACGTTTGATATACACAATGCACACATACAATCCTCTTACACTTTCCGATACGATCGCTGAAATCATCAAAAAACTACTATTAGAATATCTCAATAGACACTTAAAAATCAATAATACATAGTACGCACGAACTGCGCATGAGGCGCAAAAAGCTCGGAAATCAATATTGGAAAATAGTATCCGAATTATAATAAATTTGCCAATGAAAATAATGATATGTTATTTTTAGCAGACGAGGAACTGAATGAAGATGCTAAAAAACACATTAATAAAACGAGAACCTTAGACGAGAAATGTTACGAATTTTTCAAAGCGCAATTAGAAGTAGAAAATTGTATGCTGCAAAATAATTAATCAAAAAAGAGAGAAAGAATATATCGAATTAATCTTGTGAAGCAAAATAGAAATTTGCACCCTTGGTTCGATTATGTATAGAAGCTTCATGCGCTTGGTATGAAGTTGGCGACCCATTTGAACTGATTTTTAATTAGCATAACCTAACGCTCGGATTATATAAATTGGAAAATTATGATAATACCACAACTTAGCATGAGAATCAGAACGAGAAAATTCAAAGCTTATCTCACAACTAGATTAATAATCCGTTAACTAAAGAGTCCGCCTAACTCGGACACTGGCATTGAACAGGCGAAAAACCAGACTAATCGACAAATGAGGAAATGCTTGTCTCAAAAGACGATAACTACTCCTATTCTTTGGGTGCGCGATTACCAATTACAATTATCGTTACATTTTTATCAAATATTGCATAATAAAGATGCTTATTTTTCTTATAAGACTTGACAAGTGAGCATCAAAGCCTTTATGAGATAATGTATAAGACATGTTAATGCCCAAAGAAAAGCTATTGGTTAAAGATATTTTAAGGTTGTCATGAAGTAATTCGAATATTTATAATGTATAAGTTGACCAATGATACACCAGATAGTCTCCAGGATCACATCGTACCCATTCCAAAACGGTATGTCTGCACGCAAACATTCGTAGAGGAAACCTAAGGGGATTTAGTCTGCAATATAAAATCTAAGGAGACTCAGTCTACAACATAGAATGTGAATACAATATTCAACACAAAATCTAAAAAGACAGTCCACAACATCGAAATGTGAATACAAATAATTCAATACATATGGACGGATAAATCTACTTTCTTTCAATTGAGGTGGCACTGAGAAAACGCAATCTTTCAGCCTTCAAATGTTCACGAACTTGAGAAGGCAGTAAGGAACGCGCTTCCGCAAAAAGTACATATTATCTATGCCCAACCGGATTCAAGCTGTTATTGCTGCAAATGGATGAGATACTAAACATTGACGTTTACTCTAAGCAATAAAATTTCTTTGGGGGGTTAATAAAAAAAATAAAAATTTTTTAATATCTTAAATATAAAAGTGTGTAATACTTTTTTTAGTCTGTGATGATATACTGCATACTAATACACCAACCATTAAACAATAAAGAATAACGTCTTGAAATCTTGTTTTCAGATATTTGATTATGCAACTAGCTCAAAAAAGTTAAAATTTTTTTAATTCTGAAATGTTACAGAGATGGTTTATATACCAGATAGGTATATTGATAGAGATAAGAGTAAGAGATACTTATTACATTATTATTTATTGAGTTAGTTTTACATTCTACTAATTATCGTTGCGAGTTGGTTAGCGAAAGCAAGTATTATACAGCAGACACCTAACTGTCCATCAGTCAAAGTCTAATTCCTATATAAAACTATATGTACAATTGGTATATAGATTATTGCATATTTAACACTATAACAGTCCATGCAGATATGAAAAAGTTGGTTTCATCGCCAGGATAAAATTCAAGATTTCTATAGTGCATATCCCCCATTGTCACAATGACTCTTCTTTTTTCCTAATAATGATATAGAACGTGTTAAAGTATTGGAAACAAAATGGCAACTCGACGTAATACATAACATCTAGCTCGGTTCACACAGTTCTCTAGCATTGTCATTCCGCCCTCACTCTCAACTACCATTTCGTACAGATACTTACAATTTCCTATTGCCAAGCACTGTTACGCCATCGGATCGTACGCGTTTCTTTTTCCTCTTTGCTAATGGTACACTCTCAGAGTCACTTTCATATGCATTCGCTGTGACCTTAGAAAGTCCGTATGATATTGCATCCTTAGTACTTGCTGGCGTATTAACGGGCGGACTGGTGGAAGCTATATTGGTATTGGCATTTGTTTTTATATTTGAATTATTTTTGGCACTATTAGCACCATTCCCACTATTGCTCCGACTATTACCAGTAACACTTGAATTATTCGATTTCGATTTACTCTTTAGTTTCTTCTGTTCGGCTCTCTTAGCGGCAGCTTCTGCTTTCTTACTCTCTTGTTCGAGACGTTTCTGCTCTGCTTTTATTTTTCGTTGTAGATCTTTTTCGGCTTTTTCGGCTACCTTTTTAGCTGCTTTTCGACCACGCTCTTCCATTCGCTGTCTTTTCTTTTCTTCGGCCAACTGAGCTTCACGTTCCTTTTTGCGTTTTCGCTCTATAGCAAGAGCTTCCGCTTCAATACCCGACGGTTTCGCAACGCGAGGTGGTTGTCTGGGAATTATTCCAGTAATGGGAACTTTCGGCCTCTGACTTCGTTTCTTTTGAGAAACCATTTCGTCCTGGTTTGTAAAATAAAGTTTTTTAATCATAGGCCGTATTAGGAAGCCGAATAAGATAGGTTTAATCTTACTTCTAAGAGACCAATAAGCTCTGATGCCCGCCTCTCAAAATATGGTCGAAGCAAACCAATTTGTTTGCTTGGCTCCACCGGTGGGAATGGATCTGGCGTCGGATATGCAGGAGCTATAATAACCAATTATAATAATCAATGGCGATGCAAAATTAGTAACCATACGAGACAATGATATAAATCGAATGTCAAAGTCTTCGCAAGTGCTTACCGTTCGTGCCTTGTCTGGTTACAAAAAGTTTATTACGTGTCAGTTATAATAATATTGATTGACATTCCGACAACTATATAATACATACCCAGGTCCCTTAACCACGTTGTTCTTTTGTTTATCTTTGCCAAAGAATAGCCTAGCCGGAACGCTGAGTTGCCCTAATCCAAGCTCTTTGAATCCAAAAAAGTCTTCTCCAATGTCTTCACCAAAGTTACCCCTACAAATAATATTAAAAGACTTAATAATTATTATTAATAAATGTAAAGGTATTATTGACCCATACGTACATGGCGAATGCTTCGTCGTTATCACTGAGCGATGGTTCTCCTGCTTCTTTGTCATCGTGCTATTAACATATCAAATATATTGTTACACATGAGGTATTCATTTCAATGTAATTCAACAATGTTACAGTCTTACCCCTAAAAGTTCTCCGTAAGTTGCGTCTAACCGCCGATTTACGTCGCTCAATCTTACTCCATATCGTTCAACCTCGTCTCGTATATACGAATCCAATTCATTTACAGAAGATACACCATTTTCATTCAACGTATGTAATAAAATTTCCTATAATTAAAGCAGTGAGTTGACAAGATCACATAAATAAACACTTTGCTAAAATCTCCATACGTACTTCTGGAGTCATCGTTTTATCATGTTCGTCGCAATAAGCTCGAAGACTTTTTCCGAGATTGAGCATATACTCTACTGCGACGTCCGTAAGAACATTCAGAGCTGACGATTGCGCAGCTGTGAGACACGTATAAGTAAGTGATTTAACTCGGTGTAATCAAGCACGAACTCATAATTATATGACTGATAATGAGGTTCACTCGTAAAAAATTACCTTCAAATCCTGCGTGTTGTAACAGTTTAACAACTACGCGCTCCATTAGCGCATTTCCTGTACCTTTATTCATTATTAGCGGTGGAAGACCATTTATGTTTGTTAACTGTGGCAGGGCTTTACTATTTGACGGAGCAGTTTCGGAAAGACCAAAATAACTAACCTATTAATGCAAAATATTATTGTAGTTTCATTGACTTATGGTACAATATTTATATGAAAGCAAGGTAGTGGCGTTTAATAATTTACGTACGGGAATATTCTGCTTCGCTGCTGCGATCTTAGACTGCACAATTCTCGCCTGTCGTAATGTTTCGATATTCTTATCTACCTGGGCTGCGGTGCCTTTCGTAGAAAATTGAACTTCAGGATACATGTCTAACGTTGGTCGCTCCTCACTACATAATAGGTTTACTAAACATCAAAATCCTTGTTCTTGGTTAATTAATTGCTCACGTTAGATTTAGCCGAAATTGTTACCTCTCGATCACGTTAGCGTCAAATAACTTCGATCGATTCTTATTATAGATTTCTGGATCCCAAATATCTGGTACTTTGGGTAACTTGAGCACGAGATCACTATCTGCGACAGGTGGTATCACGTCAGGAAAATTATCGACAGTTGTTTCCGTTATTTCTTGTTCTTTTGATTCTATAGTAATCTTATTCTCAAAAGGAGGATCTGTGAATGCGAGTTGTATTAATACTGAAGATGTTAACAGCTAACACTATAAATGTATACATTTGTTGTAATCACTACGTATTTGCTACTTGCCGTCTTTCTCATCATCATAAATAGACATGCCCTTTTCTATTTCTGCTCGTGTGCGTATATGAATGTTTGGTACACTCTGCAGCAGAACACGAGTCTTCTCCTCCATTTTAAACGCGTGCTCACGATATATGCTATCCTGAATAAAACAGTATTAGTTTCTTTCAAAGATCTCTGCTTAAAACTATCATCGCCCATCATCATATATATGTGCACTCACTGGACGTGTGTTGTAAGTCAAGCAGTTCTTGTATATAAGATATAAATCATCAGCAAATTCTTTCTTCGATTGGTATTGTGAATTTTTTAGCTTCTTTGTCATGGTGCCCAAATCCATAGGATTTGTTATAACTAGAAAGATAATTTAATGCAAAATCTCACTACCGTAAGCTTTAATTGCTACAAACACTCTAACAAGGATGCAAACTCACCATTGTAGTAACCAGGAGCTTCCCTTTTGTTTACTTTTTGTAGAAATGGCTGCGAGTGATCCTAATCGAAATGACAGAGCAATAGTCAATACCGATACGTGATTTCCGTCTAATTTATCATGTTATTCTGAACAGAAACTTTACTGTATATGCTTTGAGGGCGTTAAGAACGGCCTCCATTGCCTCATATAGTTCCGCTTGTCCTATTCGATTACTGTCGGCCTATAAACAGATTTATTACTCACATATTAATTACACGTATGCCATGATCAACTGCTTACAATCAGTTTATTCATACTAACCCATCGAGAGCCAACAGCGCGGACTTCCGAAAGTAATGTCGTCAATTCCCTGTCCGACAGGCCAGAGTGTTGACGGTTTGCCTCTATCGTCTCTAACATGTACTAAATTGAATAATCAAGATTGATAATTAATACAAGAAATTGACGTAATAAATTCATAGAATAAAAAAAAAGATAATGCCTACTTTCATCTTTGGTGAAACAGAGCCAAGTATTTCCTGTAATCGTATGAAATATCCAAGTAAATGCGCGATGTTGTGAAAGCAAGTCGGAATCAAATCGTTCCCAATACTTACCAATGGTCTTTGAACTGTCAACTGTTGCTTTGGTGGCTCCGGCTACGTAGTGTGTGTGTACATAAATGTAAGATAGTTTCACCTAAGATCCTAAAAACCATAGATCTTTGTTACCTCCGATGCTTTTACTTTTATTTTTTTTGGTGCAGGAGGAAGAACTTCTTCTTCTTCAGATGACGTACAATGGTACACCGACATCATCCTAAGCTGCACTTCCGCTTTCACCTTTGCTACTGCAATGGCTCTTGCCGTGGACGAATCGATGTTATTCCAGAACTCTGACCAAGAATTAGGATCTCTCAGGGCAGATTTAAAGATCGAGTATTCTTCTTTTGTTAATAGCCGCTCGATCTTTCTAGTGGCGTCTAATTCGGTAGCCTTCTGCAATGTTTCATGCAGGTTTGTGAAGGATATACGTGTAAATGACATTGTATCGGAAGAGCCGACAGAACGATTGTGTATAAGGAAAGTCCGTAAAGTTGTTATTGGTATTGTTTGTGGTTAATCTAAATATTCCATATAGAGACAAAGTAAAGTTTCACCACGTGAACTAAAATGGCTGGTGCGGCTTACTAGTGCGGCTGGAAATATGGAAGCATGACAATGACGTTTTTGTTACAGATCATTCCATAAAAGTAACGCCCATAATAATAAATAATGCGCTCGATCAATTTTTTATTTGGAGAATCTTATCAACTCAACTCATGTCGAGCATATCGTCATATTTAATTGGAACCCTACTCGTGTAAGACTGTTTCATCCAAAGTTTGAGTCACTAAATTATAAGACAACGGACAGGTTAATATAAATATTGTAAACTGAATTTATTAACACATAACCAATTGCTGTCGTCATACCTGCAACTGAATCAAAATCATAACTGTTTCTCGGTTTGGGCAAATCTCCAGTAGGTAAGAGTTTACTAGAGTATTTACTCTTCTTTTCGAGACATGATAAGGGTTTTACGTTATTATAAACTGTATTCCACGTGCTGTCATCATAATTGTCCTTCTCCGCCTCTTCAACAAGCTCGTAAATATCAACCCAAAGTCTCTGTGCATCTGGACGCTCGTCTGTATTAGCATCACAACACCGCTTGGCAAGTTTTTTGTATTCCTCTGGTACTGAATCAGACATTGTTGGCCGTAGTCCACCCATAATATCACATACTAAATCTCGATCGAATTCTCTATCTCTAAAAGGTGGTTCACCAGTAGCAATCAAATACATAATGATACCAAAAGAATATACTAATACATCTGATTCCTGAGTAAATTTGCGGGTATGGAAGACTTCCGGTGCAATAAAGGGTAAAACGCCTCGAATGGTTGAATGTGACTTGTGTGAATTCACCGATTGAGACAGACCAAGGCCGCATATGAATGGATCCCTATAATTTAAAACTATGTTTCCGCCATGAAGATCGCAATGCACAATTCCCGCAGCATAAATATTTTTCAGATGCCATACAATACTATACAAATGATTTAATTTCATCTTCCACGTCAATTTTGATGCAAATAAGACAAAAGACTGCCATTGTTAGCATATTGCATAACAATCATATACTCTTTTGTTTCTGGGTCTTGTGTCACTCCATAAGTTTTAAGGAATGGAAAACGCAAACACTTGGCGTGATTTCTGAACTATTAGATAAAAATAAATACAGCGTCAAATTAAATATCACTTTAATTAATAATACTAATTATTACTTACCTCGGTAATAAATAATTCCGGCGTTTCATTAAAACTCTTAAACCGTTTGAGTACAGCAGTTTTCTCTTTATTCTCTTCTAACTCGCCTTTGTATCTGGCAGTATAAACTGTCCCATAACCACCAGATCCGATCTCTTTGAGTTCGTAAAAGTCACTATACTGCATGTACTCAACATGTTTGTTAATTTGTATGAACTTGTCCAACAGCGCATGTACGTTATAGTAGGACACTAGATAGTATTCTCGAGTAGACGGCTCCTGAGTGATCCCAATTATCCAAATATTCTCGGGTGTTAATATCTCTGGGTATTCCTGAGTTAACTATTTGAGTAAACAAATACAGTCTTTACAACACTGGTCGATTTAAACGCGTGGTACACGTGCTGTAATACCATTTGCGCAAGATAATTTACCTGATATAATAATAAATTTAATAATTGATCATCTCCCTTCGTCAACTATCTTTTTGAGTGTCACACGTGTCAATTCATTTGTTGTCCATTCTGCTGTATGTGTGCATCCATGATGTTATCTCTTGTACGTTTATTAATAGTGAGTATTCGATCCATTGTATATAGGTATCATCTTTGTTACTCATATTACTCCATGATTCCATAATGAATGAATCCAATGACATGTTACCCGAAGTCCAATCAAGAGGTCTTGATGCTTTACACCAATAACAGAATAGATTTATCTTAGGTTCTAATCGCTCCGTACACGCCAGACATAATCCATCGTCAACTTTTAGTTTTGTTCACGTGATCATATGTAAATCCGATGGTAACCCAAACATCCGTAGTAAGAATATCTGGATGTTTATCATATAACTATTGGAAATTGTATAATAATTATTTAAACTATCCAATAAACATGGCGCACAATTAAATGGTTTACCTCGGCATAATATAAATCATGCGTCTCGTCTGTTATTTCAAGTGGAATCAATTTAACACGTTCATAAGACAGATAATACAAGTATATGCAATATACTTTATCATCAATGCAATTAAATGGAATCCATTCCAAATAGGCATCATTTGCAGAGTTTGTTTATAATTGAGATTTCTTGATAAAGTCATCGAGTTGCTTATTATTGCTAGTCCATCCTTCGGATAATTCTTTATGACCGCAAATGCACCACACAGGACTACATCGGAGTATTCCACATGGGAGCAAAATCCATATCGAGAATAGTAATGTAAAAGAGTTTATCAGCAACCATGTAATAATTATTTTCGTATTTTGTATATCCCATTATGAGTTTGTTGCGATGACTAAGCCATGTGGAATATCTTCTGAACTGATTAACGTCATTGTTGCACTTGTGTCTTAAAAGTGAGTATATTCTAGTAAACTCACTCAAAAACGCTGGCGTAAACAATTCATCATTTCCAACTAAGAGCAACATTATCCTCATTTCAAAAACTCCACCATTTTGCTTGCGAATGGCGTAGTTGACGTTGTCAATTTGAGTTGGCTCTATGTTGGTAATTTCCGAGCAATGAATCCATTAAAATTGATAAGAGGATTGAAGCAAGTTGTCAATTGCTGGATTATGCATATCCTTGACCCCTGGAACTAGCGACATGGTTTGAATAAAAAGTTTTCAAGTGAGAGAATGTTTCAACACTTTATTGTGTTACATCGCAATATGTAATCGCTTATTCTATACAATTCTCTTTCAACTGCAGTTTATATCGCTGAGTATCGCGTCTTGGTGGCTATAAAAAAGGTTGTTTATTCGTTCAACAATTTTATGTACGCATAATATGGGCACTGTTAGACACATACGTTTTGGATCACTGTTTTGTTGAATCGCCAATCCCCAAGCAATTTCAACATAAAAATTGTCCGTTGAAAGCACAATATACTTGTTGTTCCTCTTGCTGAGATGTAGTTTTTTTTGTTGCACACTGTAAGAATGCAATAAAAATTATGTGCATGCTGCTGATAATGTGAATAAATTCCATACAAATACAAAGCAAACACACGAAATTAGCCACCAGATAAATTTATTCCGGATCGGAAAATACTGTAGAATTTTTCTTCGTTTTTGTCGCTATTGGTGCATGAACAGCAAAAAAATATTGACAATTATAATATTTCGTATAAGCAGCAATGTCTCTACAAACTGCAATACGTGATATCCATCAGTTGCCTGTATGGGAATTTCGACAGACGATAAATGATAAAGCCGATTAATATCGTCTGTATCCTCCACAACCTTACCTTATTGCTTTTTTGCTATAAACTAAACGCGAGCATTCTATGAACATAAGTTCATACAACCATATTTTTCCACATCAGGTCGTTCCTTGTTCCCGGCAAAATGGTCATTTATTGTGTTCGATTTATTTAGAAAAATCTCATGTATTTAATTTCACAATTTTCTAGTCCGGTCTCGGGTTTAACCGGCTGCATAACGACTATATCAAATGTCCATAATTGGAATTTTCTTTATCTAAACGTTTACAGAACCGGCCTCTGGCTAGACCAACCAAAAAACAACAAAACAGGGTCGCCGGTTTAAATAGGTTTCACCTGTATTAGTATTACGATAAGTCCGAATTATTAATAATATTTTATTGGATATAAAATACTGCGGTAGTTAGAAATTAGTTATAAACCAACCTTTCCTCACAGTCGAAAATATTCAGCCATAAGGTTCAAATTGTTGGTTCCATAAATGAGTTTTTAATACTAACTCTTGTTCTGACATAAATATCCAACCGTCCTAACTGTAAACAAAAACATGATTTACCTGCGATCGATATACAGATTTAATGCATAACGAAACATTATTAGACTTTTTGTCATAAACTTTGTTAGCTTATTGCAAACAATCCATTATTGAAACTGATTCGTTCGAACGAAAGGATAATAAATGAAAATTTTAAATATTCTTTAAATAGAGTTAATCGAAGAAGAACGTACGTTTTACGTTCACTAAAGAAGAATCATGTTTAACGTACAACGGAGCGATACAGTTTGTTAAGAAGACTGACGTTTAATACAACGGAGCGATACTATTTGCTGAGAAGACCGATGTTCGAACAAGAGTTAAAGATGTTGCGTTAATATTATATTGTATCAAAACGAGGCAAGTCTTTCCGTCGGCTCGTAACGTAGTGGTTTCGCTATGCTAATATGTCTGCATCAACTTAATCAAAGATTTGTTTGGGTAACATAATAATGATTTTCACGATCGCCATAACTAATTCGAAACGCGGTTTTTATTTGAAGTTTTGTTTTCTGTTTCAGATTGGTTATAAAACCAGCACCATTAATCCACTTAAAAAACAAACTACAATCGAATTATCGAAAGCATAATTTTATTCTACAAAATTCAAATAACAACCAATCAAAATGCTCACTTTCACTATTGAAATCTTCTGCGAACTGCTACTTTTGATTACGCTTATCGCTGGTGCTTCGCTATACTATAAAACTCACAATCAATTC